AAATGGGGAGAGAACACACAGTGTTTCTCACTCTCTGACGCAACTCCCAACAACCAATCACAAGATAGAACCTGCGAAGATCACAATTGGAATCCATACTGATGATGAGTCACTCAAATAATTATCGTAACAGAGTTTGTTTCAGTATCTCGCCACTCTTAGAACTCACACCCCACTCTCTATCCTACACCCAGTTAGTAGCGCCACATCAAATTGGCCTCCCAGAGGCCAGCACCAACCACCCTGATGAAGAACAAGTCCTGCGATGAAGTCTTCAGTGTCGATGGACAACTCTGACGAAGGAACAGGCAGCTATGGCTGCCACCACCCATGAGTAAACAGTGTAGAGCTCGATATAGCCCGGCGAGACGCAGATACCCCAGGGGTAGATGCGTCGAGGATGCCCCAGCTATGGCAGACTCGGACTGGGCCGGCTATGGCTGCTGTCAACGGCGAGGTCTCAGGATGCCACCTGCAGACAGTCACCGTCACCAACTTGCTTGGCTTCTCCAACGCTGCTTTGCGAGAAATGAACTGCCAAAAGTCCTAAACCTACTCGGTCTGTCCTATTTCTAGATTCTACCCTAGACCTACTGGACCGAAACTGCTCTTCCGGTACCGTTTCGACTTAAAGTCTCTAGGCCCTTCCCAGCTACGGACTCTACCCACTGTAGGCCCTTAGGGCCTCTATGACGTCGGGGAAGACTGGGCCTGCAATCGCAGGGCCGGAACCGGTCTATTTTTAGAACAGCATATACACCTCAGTGTGACCCAAAACTTTGCACGCACACACAACAAAGCACGCTACAAAGCACAACAGGCACACGCAACAGGGTACAACCTCGTCGTTAGTCACGGCAGCAGAAATCAGCACGTCATCGCACCTCAATGCGTTAAAAAAACAAACACAGCAACAGCACAGACAACAAAACACAGAAAACACAAAATCACGAATCTAACCTACGACGTGACCAGATCGAGGCAAGCCCCAGGCTTCGCCCTCAGCCTAATGTACAGTCCACTGAGAATCTCCAGGTTTCATTACACTTGTGTGTTCATTGACAAGTCTTGGAAATGTTGTGAGGGTCTGGGTGTCGCCACACCACTTTCTTTCGAATTGTGCAAAATGAGAATGAACTTTCTGCTAGAACATGGCCAAATGCACCGGCCGCATTTTTGTTTTTTTCACATTGGACAGTGGTGTGGCGAGGCCCTCTGTTAGGGGGTTGCTATACTCACTCGGAGACTGCAGCAAAAGCAAAGTGCAAAACGAAAAGGAAAAAAAAAAAGCGAAGCGCAATTGTGGATATGCCCTTTAGTGTACTGATGGAGTGTTGTTTTCTAGCGCCTTTCTTTTGATCACTTGGAAATCGGATACACTCATTTTTCTCATTGAACGTACGTAATTTTGATTCATAGATTGCAATTGATTAGCATTCAAACTATTTATCATTCCATCACACCATTTTGATGCTTCAGACATCTCACGAGCACGAGTGTCGTCTATTCCTTAGGCAAGTCATTAATAATATATGATGGTGGATGTTTAGGTGGTCTCTCCCGGGGTGGGACTTCATGACGATACATAGCGGGCTCCATGGGGACCGGGGGTCGCAAAGGAGAGAGCAGATGGTCCCAGAGGAGAGAGCAGATGGTCCCAGGGGAGAGAGCATTAACCCATGATGGTCTGTTCAAAAAAAGTGAGAACCTTGCAGTTGATTGTTTCATAAGAAACAAGAGACCGTAGGCGTCGCTCAACTACTCAACGTGGACATGCATTTGGACCAGGTGCATCTGGAGGACTCCAACATTTTGAATGTATCGGGATGGTTATGATGTTCGGATACATATAGAGTGTTGTGTAGTGGAGCGAGGACCGTATGGTTGGTGTCGGTCTCAATGTGAAACCGAGGAGACAACTTTCAGGAAGAGGTTCATTCATGAGGTCTTTTCCATTTCTTAGTTGGTTTCGTTTTGCTTGCTTTGTCGCATTTGTTGCTTTTTCGGTCACTTTTTTAAATGTTTTGGGTATGTGCAAATCTGTTTGCTTGATTGGTCTGTGTTAGTCGATCGATTTCTTGATTATCGTAGGAAATAGCTGATTCACCTGCTTCTTTTTCCCTAAGATTGGCCCTGTGTTAGTCGATCGATTTCTTGATTATCGTAGAACATAGTTGATTCACCTGCTCCTTTTTCCCTACGATTGCAGGTGTGAGATTGGTCAATAGATGGAGCTTTGGTTTAAAAAAAAAAAACAAAAAAAAAAAGAAAGGAGATTGATCATTACCAATGCCCTGGAAAATCAATGGAATAGCAAAGGACAACCGACATTCGGGCCCTTCAGGTTGTGCAATTAAGATTAGGTGTGCACGTGTGTGTTTGTCTATGTCCGCGCGTTCCTGCGCGCACATGCACATGCGTGGCAGAGTGAGAGAAAGTGGGCACACGTACGCGAGAGAGTCAGAGAGAGTGGGGGCAACACACAGAGAGAGAGAAAGAGAGAGAGAGATGCCCCCAAGAAAAGTGGTCGACTTTCCTTGTACCAACCCTCTGTGTGTGTGTGTGTATGTGTGTGTGTGAGAGAGAAAGAGAGAGAGAGAGAGAGAGAGAGAGAGAGAGAGAGAGAGAGAGAGAGAGAGAGAGAGAGAGAGAGAGAGAGGAGGGGGAAAGAAAAACAATTTTCAATCTGGACCCCCCCATCTCTGAATAGAGCCATCAGCTGCAAGGCAGACACACACACACACACACACACACACACACACACACATACGATGTGCGCGTGCAGACACACACCTGGTTGGCGTGAGGAAAGTCTACCACTTTTCTCAGGGGTATCGCTAACTCTAGGTGGCTTGGTGCATCCTTGTCAATAAGTCAAATGCACTCTACCACTTTTCTCAGGGGTATCGCTAACACTGGGTGGCTTGGTGCATCCTTATCAATAAGTCAGATGCACCCCCGGCAACCTCCTGATGAGTTGGTGAAAATCTGATGAGAGTTGGTGGGCTCAACTGCCCAAGGCGCTCGCAGAGCGTGCAAAGTTTGACAAAACATTCTGGCATGGTCATGCTGTTTTGTGGAGTTTTGTATAGCGGACGCGACAGCGCACTCCAGATTAACATACTAATCTAGATCGTTTGTGTTAAGGGTATCGATCCGAACCTATGCGCTGCTACGAAGGGATTCGAGGTCATAGAAGTACTGATCAGTTTGCAGACATGTAAACAGCTTGAAGTTTGCAGACATGTAACTAGGAATAACAAAACACCAAATTTGATAACTGAAAAAAGGAAAACAAAAAAAAAGGGCGAAGCTTAGGGAAATTTGCATATATGTTGTCAAAGCTTCAGTCATTTGTGTGCAAATAAATGATGGTTTTTCTATGCGTAGAACAAGAAAAGGTTTAGCTAATAAAAAAACAAATTCTTCTGAGAAACAATAACAAGTCAATAAAGTGAAAAAAAAACAAATAAAAATCCACAAAAAATGTGGATAAGAGTTATGTGCTGGATTGAGAGTAAGTGTGCGAGAAAATGCCATGGGTGGTGTTGTCTGTGTGGGCGGGTGGGTGTGTGAGTACGAACATTGCAATCATGCACGAGTGGGGTGGATACCACAAACGGTATAGTTCCACTTTTTTACACTACTTTGTCATGGCTAATGTTCGTGATGTGCGACTTTCGGATTTGTGCACAATCATGTTGGGATCAAAGGCCATGCAAGTACTGATCATGTCATTGGTGGGAAATCTTGGTTCGGAGTTTGAATGGGGAAAATGAAAAAGGAGGAGACATTTGAAGTCTTGCCCTTGCTTCTTTCACAGGGGCGAGACGTGACATCCCTACACTATTAAAGTCGCTAAGGTGACAAATCTAAAATTTGGCCAGTCATCGGTCCTAGCGGCTCACTCTGGATGCATCATCAATGCTTTGAAAGAGTGGGCTCAGCAACGCGCGGTTGAAGCTCGCGTTATCATATGTAGATTATTCCTTTTCGGTTTGATAAAATAACATTCGAAGTAATTTTTCATTTAAAAAAAAAAATGAACATAGTAGAATCATCTTTTAAAATAAAACGTACAAATGTAAAAACACATGCAAAACACTTGCTATAAAGAGTTCTGAAGAAGTGAAAGTTTCGGTTGATGGACTTCTGCGAACTCCTAAAAAAAAATGAAGATAAAAATTGAAAACTTAGTTTTCTTTTTTTCGTAAGTTTGTAGTGTAAAAACAAAAAAGCACAAGATATTGTAGTACCAAATACCTTATAACCTAAATAACTAGGCTACCATCTGGGATAACGGACACCTTGTTTTCTCGAGCAGCCCGATTGTGACAGAAGCTCATAAGGTTGCACAAAAAAAAAAAAAAAAAAAAAAAAACTATGTTATGCAGAAACATAAACTAAACAATTCTGCCTTAGTGTCATATTGAAATTATTTACTAAATTTAAAACAAAAACATATACATACAGGGTTGCCGGCGTTCGGGACGGGCCGAACGCCCGAACGTACGGGACCCCTTCGAAAGG